TTCACTGTTACTTACTTACTCCATCTTGTGTTCGGTTCTTATACTTGACAGAACTTCGGTTTCATAATACTATTCTGTTGTGTGAATGGGTCAAATAATCTTGCGATTAACGTATTAATATTGCATCATTTCATTTGCATCATCAACATTTGCATCATTCATATATCAATCATTTCATTTCGGTTTCATCCTTCCGTTCTGGAACATTTATTCATCATTCATTGTCATATTTCATCATCGAGTATCGCCGTCATAATGTTGTTCGGTGAATTATTCACCGTCACGTCAACTCCACAACTGAGTCATCGTCAGTCACTCCCCCCTCCCCTCCCCCCGTAAATTGCCGGATATAAATATTCAATCAGAACTAATACTTTGCAACTGTTGTAACGACTCTGCTGACTATGATAAGCTCTGCAGCATTCAGGCTCTTTAGATAATTAGATCCAGTTATCGTGTCACACATTTTGTTGACCGATGCAAAAATTCCTAAACTTACTTGAGAGTCTCACTCCACACGTATTGTTTTACAAGTTGTTGGTGCTCTTTCGTGAATTCCAAGTTGATAATCGTTCGTGGGAAGGATGTTCGAATTAACCTTAAATTGATGGAGTACTTGTTTAGGTATTCCAAATTTCTGAGATGGCTTCATACTCACAATATTTGACAAAGGAACAAGAAGATGAGCTGAGAAAAATCGCTCACGCTATTGTCGCACCAGGCAAGGGTATCCTGGCTGCTGATGAGAGCACAGGCATGTTATTTGAATTCTGAGAAATCATATCCTTACTAGAAGTTTCTTATTGTTAGAGAGAAAAGAGTCATTTCATTCGATTATCCTCAATAATGGATAAATTTTTGGAAGGATGTATTGATAAGCTATCAAAATAATCAACAGATTCTCGTGTTAGTTGAATTTCGATCAGTTCAAATGAACTTTAGGTAGCATGGACAAGAAACTCAAACCAATCGGTCTTGAGAATGTCGAAGAGAATCGTCGTCTTTACCGTCAGGTTCATCTTTATGCACTTATTCACTCACCTGTTTGAGATTATTTTGATTTGAATGATTGGAAATGTGATATTGTTTGTTGTATGTGAGTTGATTGAAGATTCTGTTCACGTCCTCTGACGAAGCATCCAAGTACATCTCTGGCGTGATCATGTTCCACGAGACGTTCTATCAAAAGACCGACGATGGAACCCCATTCGTTCAGGTACTCCAAAAGAAGGGAATCATCCCCGGTATCAAGGTTCGTTGATACTACGCCTTTTGAATTATTCATTCTCTCATTGAAACTTCTTATTACAATGATGGATGCGTAATTCTTTCAAGCATCATGATCACTCGATATCCTCAGCTCATTATCCCCATGGAATTACATGGAATTACTTTAATATCCTCCAGAACTTTCATATGAAAATTATTCGTATGATGCAATGTGCTACATATATTGTATACTGTTGTCTATCTCATTTGGAAATAACCTCATCACTGGTTTTATGGTAAAAGTGCTGGCAAGATTTTGGTCGGTAGTCAGTGGAATTTAAATGTCCCCATTTCAGGTTGATATGGGTGTTGTACCGATGGCTGGAACTGTCGGTGAGGGAACCACTCAAGGTCTTGACAATCTGAATGCACGATGTGCTCAGTACAAGAAGGTTTCTTAGATTCTGCAATATTGTGAACTGAATATGATTGACTCTTACATTTGTGCGTGCGATTTTCCGTCTCACTGATTCATTCAGTACTCATTCTTCCAAAAAAAAAAGAATAACTCGTATAATTCTTTGTAAAGTGACTAAAACTCAACAAGTGTAGCGTTTAATGCAATAGCAAAACTGTTTTCAGGACGGTGCACAATTTGCGAAATGGCGTTGTGTGCATAAGATCAGTGCTACCACACCAAGTCATATGGCACTCGTCGAGATCGCTGAAGTAAGCGATTGATTCATTTTGTTCTGCCTGCCAGTTGCTATCACAACTCTGTTTCACTTTTGATATTCATTGATTTCGAATCGAATCCGACGGAAAAGTTTCCTTCCTTTTTGATGTCGAAAAATTTGAAGTCGTAAATAGTTTCTTTGACTGCACCGGTCATGTGCAATACGTGTGCTTTGCATTAATCTTGTGACTAAATGTTCATTTTTCTTTTTACATCGAAATGAAAAACGATAAAACAACAATGTCGTTATTGTTATTGATATCGTTCTTGTGAAAAACGGAAAGAATTGAATGTGTGAAAATGACTTTAAGTAATGGCATCCATCTCTTCTCTTATCAGCCACATTTTTGTTTATTTTACACATTTATTTGATCATTTAATGACCACCTTACACCGCATCACATTGCAAATCTGTTATCAACGAAAGATTCTTATCGGAGAAAGAGCCCGCCCGATAAAGTATGACGATAGTGCATTGATAAGTGCTGTTACCGAGAGCATTCCATTCGGGAGCAAGAGAGTATATTTATCAATTGTGACGATGGAAGAGAAAAGGGAAATTGCTTAAAGGTGTTGGCTCGTTATGCGTCGATCTGTCAACAGAACGGATTGGTTCCAATCGTAGAGCCAGAAACACTTCCAGATGGAGAGCACGACCTCGCTAGATGCCAAAAGATCACCGAAGCTGTTTTGGCGTACACCTACAAGGCTTTGAGTGATCATCATGTCTATCTGGAGGGAACGTTGCTTAAGCCAAATATGTGCTTACCAGGTATCCACTACTATCAATTATACTCTCAAGCCATCCATTTACAGTTTACAATTCGTTTTTTTTTTCGAAACTTTCTGTACAAAATTCGTCCTACTGTTCAGTTGCGTATATTTGAAGTTTGAGAATTATGAATAGACGACCATGTTGAGTTTGTCGAATTTGTTTCAGGTATGCAATACAAGGGTCCTAAAGTATCGCATGAGGATATCGCACGTGCAACGGTAACGTGTTTGCAACGTACCGTACCCGTTGCGGTTCCCGGTGTTGTGTTCTTGTCGGGTGGACAGTCTGAGGAGGATGCGACCGCAAATCTGAATGCTATCAACCAATATAAGGTCTGTTTCTGTTGTCATTGCTTCAAGGTGATAATCGTGGATTACGGAAATGTAATCATAACATGCAAATGGAATAAGTTGCATTTGCAAATGACTCTAAATAATGACATCTCTTCTCTTATCGGCCACATCTTTTGGCTTTTGCGAGAGATGGATTGAAGTTAGAAAACAACGGCAGTTAGGAAATAGCTGATGAGGGGATATGAAGTTGTATGTGATGTGCACTAAGAATGATCATAAATGATCGATGTGCGACGGTTTCCAGGGAACGAAACCATGGGCGCTAACGTTCAGTTACGGTCGTGCACTGCAAGCATCAGCGTTGGCCGCTTGGGGCGGAAAGAAGGAGAACATCGACAAGGCCAAAGCCGCGTTCATGAAACGAGCTCAGGCCAACAGTCTGGCGGCTCAAGGCAAATACACGGGCACTGACGCTGATGCGGCTGCAGCACAGAGTCTATACATTGCAAATCATGCTTATTGAAGAGCACACTGCGTTTTGGTGATGATGAAGATGGTGATGAGAGCGATAGTAGACTTATCCTTATCATGAGTTCGTGTCATGAGATAAGCTATGAGTGTTGAATCCACATCTCGTCATGTGTATCGTCTCTCATCATCACAATTACCCACACCCTTAATATCTCTTCCATCACCAATTAGTCCTTCATACTGTGTTTTTTGTGTTCGTTCGTTCGCTGGTTGTTCGTGTTTTCGTGTCATTTGCTACTACATCCAATAACTTTAATACCCTATTAAGAAATGAGTGAATCAGTTTCGTCTTCTTTTCCCATCTCAATTGCTTGGGTAATTCATTATATTAGTTCGTTTGATTGTCCGTTGCAATCAATCATCATCATAGTATTGTTTTACAATTCATTTATTCTATTTGTTTATGTTTATTTCCTAATATGTAAGTGAACTAAATGCAACACATAACAACAACAACAACATTTTTAGCCAAATTCATTCGGTTTTATCAAGTTTCAGTTTGATGTTTTTTGGAGAATTTATCACTTATTTATTCTCTCTGTATGCCAACTTCTCATCGTAATCGCTGTTTAGTTACTCGACATATTCTATTTGTGTTTAGTATGTGCAAATTGCC